CCTCGTGCAGCTTCTCCACCAGGTTCTGCACCATGCTGGGCTGGACGTGGAGCAGGATGTCCCACCAGTCGTAGCCAGTCACCATGCAGTACTCCAACAGGAACAGCAAGTGCCGCAGGGACATGTTCATGTCCAGCACGTGGCCCATGGAGGGGGAGATGCGGAGCATGCTCAGCTTGAAGGGAGGAAGCAAAGGGAAACTGGCTTCAGGAGTGAGCTTAGAATTGCCCACAAAGCTACAACACAACATGGGGCCCAATGAAGCTCAACCCTGACCTAGTGACAGTTTCTGACACTGATGGGATACATCTCTTCCCACTACAGATCTCACAGCTGGAATTCCAAGTGTTTCCTGAGAGACCCATCACCGCTCAGAGAGCCTGGGTGAGAAATAACCCCCCAACAAGACAGCACCAACCTTCCCATGACTGTCCACACCAGCCAGGGCCAGTGATGTCCAGGAGAGCTGCATGGCCTTGAAGTGCACCAGGGGCCCTGTGGTGCGTGGGCGCTTGAGGGCCGGCTCGTCCACGGGGCGCTGCGAGGAGGAGCCGTAGAACACGGCCATCATCTGCAGGGACAGCCGGTGCACGATGTGGACACTGCCATCGTGGAAAGCCAAGGCCAGGCCTGGGGACAGGAGATGAGTGAGGCTGAGCAAGCAGCTCCTCCCAGCATGGCAGTGGCCACCACTGAAGCCCATGGAGAAGCCAAAGGGCTGGGGGCTCACGGCATTTCGCAGCCTCTTCCCACAACGGGTTCGCATCCTGCATGAAAGCCTTCCCTCAGCATGCCACGTGCTTCACTTCAGCTACAGCTCAGGTAATTTCAAGCAAATTTCAAGCAAAAATCTAGGACAAAGACAACAGGAGTTCCTTACCCAGTCCAGGGAAGAACTTGGTGTCGTTTGCCACCTTCAGGTCGGTGTTGGTCAGGGAGATCGGCAGCTTCGGCAGCGCCACGGCCGACACCCGGTCCAGGTCGTTGGTGGCAGACAGGATCCGCCACTTCAGGATCATGGGCTGCTTGTCTCCCACTGGGGAAAATAAGCAAGTGAGTGAGAATTTTGTCCCAGAGAGATCAGAAAATCTGCCCACATTTCTGGCCAGGCTCCCCCAAGCAGGATCACAGATCGGGCACTGGTCTATTTCCCACACAGCTCCCTGTTTTTTTCCTGATTATACAAACAACACGTTTTTCCTGATATAAAACAACATGCAAGCTCTGCTGCGTGACTAAGATCCTTATATACAATAATCCTTTATATTTTACCAAACAAACTGCCCTGATTAATTCTGTTTTATCTGAGATCAGGTGGAGCACAAGCAGCCAGGGCAGGGGATTAATCCAGCTCTGCTGCTCAATCCTGGTCCTTTGGGAGCCTTTGCTCCACTGCTGGCAGGAAGGGCGGCCGTGCAGCAAAACACAAAAAATGTCTTTTATGAAGCGAAAGCAACAACCAAACCCTTTCCTGGAAACTGCAAGTTGCTGCCTATGATGCAAACAGACAGAATGGACTGAGAACACCTGAAAATAAACATGAGCTTCTGAGTAACCCCATCTATGGGATTATGTATGTGAGAAACTGTGCTGCTTTTTCCCTCAGACCAAGCATTCTGTTCTTGAGAATCCCCAGAGCAGATACTTACCCACAGGAGAGATTTGCTGGAAGATGTTGTTGACAGGCAGGCCCTCCTTCCTAAGGGACCAGCACTCCACGATGCTGTTGTTTTGGTTGGAGGCACAAAGCAGCACCTGTGGAACAGATCCCCCCCACCACAAGTTTCACAACAGGGAGGACACTGCCCTGGTCATTTCCAGGGTGCTGTTTTCACTCAGGTCATGAAAAAGCAGAGGATCAAATCAGTGGGAGGCCAGGTCCCTAATTCCAGCTGCACCAGAAGGGCAACTAGGAATGCCAAGGGTATTGCAGGACACGCTGGCCACCCCAGACCCTCTGAGGAAGACCAGGTGGAGCAGAGAGCAGCTTCCCACCTGCTCTGACATGTCCCGAGCCAGGAACTTCAGGTGGGTGATGGCCGGGTACTTGTCCTTGCGCGCGGGGTCGGTGGTGCAGCGCATGAAGAGGGAGGGCAGGATCTCGGTGTCGATCTTGCACTTCTCGTTCACCACGCTGACACACACCTTGTAGAACTGCACGGGGGACGTGCTGCTGCCATCAGACGTGGCCACCACGATGTTGCCCCCGCCCGTGAAGGCGACGTCGGCCAAGGCCACGCGGCAGCGCAGGCGGCACAGGCTCTCGGTGGCCGTCAGCACCTGCCCGTTGGGCTTGAGGAGGGACACGGTGACCAGCCCGCTGATGGTCACAGCAATCCAGCCCTCCATGGGCTTCCCACCAAACAGCGTCAGCGACGGGGAGAATTTCACCCGCGAAAACTTCTCGCCGAAGTTCGAGGCTCCGGACTGTAACACACGTCAGCAAAACCAAAGTGTTGGCGGCCAAAATTTGTGCCTGCGGAGCTCTTCTCGAGGGACAGGGGCAGGATTTATGTGGGACATCCCCAGCACAAGCAGGGAACTTGTGCTTGGCAGCTTTGGGCTTTCAGAGTCGGCAGGATCACACACGAGGAGCTCAGGTCTGTGCCCAAATGCCCAGATCAAACCTCAGCACCCCAAATGCATTTTCTCTGAATCACCACTGAGGAAAGAACTGCTCTATCTCCGTGTTCCTGCCTAGAAATGAGGTACCAGACTAGGGGAGACACACCTGAAACACCAAAAGAAACAAGGCTCCAACCCCCCTCAGAACTCAGCAGGAACCAGGAATCTGACTTCTCTTTGACTGCAAAAATTCCTCAAGGCCACAGGAGAGCCCAGAGCACGGACCACAGGCAGGATCCTGAGTTCTTTGCCCAGACCTGAGCCAGAGCTGCAGCCCAGATCCCCCATGGATCTGACACAAACCTTCTCCACGTGCAGAGCCAGCTTGACGCCGTTGTGCAGCCAGGACAGGGCCACCACCGGGTCCCCCTCCACCACGCTGCCCACCGTGTTCTCCCAGCTGTTGGCCAGGTGATCTGTCATGCCCCAGCACTTGATGTGGCCATCAGCATCTGCTGAGAGCAGCCTGGAGCCTGTGACAGTGACACTGCATGAGAATGGGGTAGGAACAGACAAAAACCTACAAGGAGTCACAGCCTGGAGCCTGTGACAATGACAACAGGGAGAACAGAGAAAATGCCACAAGGAATTGCAGCCTGGAGCCTGTGACAGTGACACTGCATGAAAATGGGGGAACAACCAAAACCCCACAAGGAATCACAGGCTGTGACAGTGACACTGCATGAGAAGGGGGGAACAGAGAAAACCCCACGAGGAATCACAGCCTGGAGCCTGTGACAATGACAACAGGGGAAACAAACCCCACGAGGAATCACAGCCCACCCCTTGGGGACCGGCACAGCAGGGGTGGGACACGGTGACAATGTGGAGGGAGCCCAGCCCACCTGACTGATCCCACTCCAAACAGGTGATGACTTCGGTGTGGCCCGAGTTCACAGAGTAGACGTCCCAGGGGTGCTCGGTGTCGATGATATGGACCATGTGAGTGAGATCTGTGTGAACAGAGAAGTGACTCCCTGAGCCTTGGCACCGCTCCTGAGCCTCAGCTGGTGCAGGGAAAACATAAAATATTTTATAGAAATCATTTGGGGTAGGGTAGCAACTCTGCTGGGAGCTCAGTGAGGGACTGATGTGGTGTAGATTAGGGAAATCGGTCCTGGCTTAGAGGAAACGCGTGTGAGACACTGCCAGAGGCTGAGGGATGGAAGGAAAAGGAGGAGCAGCAGCCGGGAGCTGCCAGGGGCAGGCAGAGCTCCGGCCCGGCGGATCGTGGCCTTTCCCGGGAGCACCGGGAGCTGCCAGCAGGGATTTCCCCAGGGGCTCCCGGTACCTTTCTCCTCCTCATTGCGGAGGTCCGTGGTGAAGGCGATGAGGTTGCGGCAGGACCAGGCGCACACCAGCGGGATGGAGGGGCAGTGGTTGCTCTTGGGTTTCTTCTCCCACTCGCACACGTAGGCCAGGTCCATCCCGCCGGGACGCGGTACACCGGACACGGTACACGGTACACCGGACACGGCACACGGGACAGCCTCGGTCCTGCCTGGGGGCGACACAAGGCCGGTCACACACCGGGAATCCCAACCTCAGGGGCCATAGCGGGGGGGGGGCACAGCCCTGGGGACACGGGTGGGTACAGCCCCGCACCGGGACAAACCCCGGCGGTCCCGGGGGAAACGGCCCGCGGGTACCGACCGCACGGCGGGCGGGAGGGTCGTCCCCCCTCCCCGGGGACGGTCCTGGGGCGGTGCCGGAGGTTCCCGGGGAGGCCGCGGGAGGTTCTCGGTCCGTTCTCGGTCCGTTCCCGGTCCGTTCCCGGTCCCGCCGCACTCACCGGCGCCCGCCGCTCCGCAGGACCCCGGCCCGCCCGCGGGCTGCCCGGGCCGCGCCTGCGCCGCGCGCTCAGGCACTGCCGCGGACACCCCCGCAGAGAGAGCGAGAGAGAGAGAGAGAGCGCGCGCCATCCCGCAGGGTGTAATTAGCATAACAAACTACCCACAACGCACCGGGCAGAGATAGCGAACATAACCGGCGAATTTCGGACAATTTGGGGAAAAACGATGAAAATAAGGGAGCAGAAGACTGAGAAACACTTGGGAAGCTCATTCCGCGCCTAATATCGAGACACACTTCAGTCACCCTATTGTGAAGATATTATTTCTCTAAGTCTTTAAATAGCGCTGCGGGTGCAGGGCAGTTCGTGCTCGCTTCGGCAGCACATATACTAAAATTGGAACGATACAGAGAAGATTAGCATGGCCCCTGCGCAAGGATGACACGCAAATTCGTGAAGCGTTCCATATTTTTCGCACCTCCCCGCACCCACATTTTCCATCCCGCGCCCCACCCGCTGCCCCGCCACCCCCCAAAAACCTCCTCCCTGTCCTCCCCGTCCCCACGGAGACACAGAGCCGGAGTAGGGGAGCACCGATTTTATTGTTTCTGAACGCCACACCAGCCAAGGAGGAGCGAGGGGCGCCCCTGGCTTTTGGGGTACCCAGGAGGGGCTGCCCCGGCTCTGGGGGTACCCACGAGGGGCTGCCCCGGCTCTGGGGGTGCCCACGGTTAATGGCAGTCGGCGTCATCACGGTGGGGCAGAGCAGCCAGCAAAGATCCCCAGGGCACGCCCAGCCCCGAGCAAACCTTGGCACATGCCACGAAGCCGGGTGGCACATAGAGAGACCCCCAAAATGCCCCCGTCTGCCCCCATGGCAGAGAGAGCCCCGAAAGGGGCTGCACCCCTCCAACACGCGCACACACACACACACACACACATGTAAATATACACACACGTGATAAAAAACACACAAGCTATATTACACTTTAAAAAACAGCCCCGTGGGCCGGGCAGGGCACAGGGCGTGGGGTAAAAGCATCCGGAGCCCCCGAGCCCCCCCGGGACACCCGGTGGGCACGGGGCTGCGGGAACGCGGCAGCCCCGGGGCTCTTCCGCCGGCTCAGCGATTGCTCAGCAGCCGCCGGGAGCTGTTTCACCGCAGAAAAATCTGGGCCGAAATCACCCCACGAGCGTCAGCGCCAGAGGGAGGCTTGGCCCTGCCTGATTCTTTTTTAAAAACACCTGGGTTATATAAATAGACACACCAACAGTTCCAGGAGGGATGCGCGGGGCCAGGGCACAGCCACAAACCCCCGGCTCTGCCCCGCCGAGGCTCCGGGAGAGGCTGCAGAGGACACAGGAGGGGCAGGGCAGCTGTGGGGGCATCAGCTCATCTGCCCCAGGTAGTCTGAGAGCAGCAGCTCCGGGGGCAGGAACACGCGGTGTTTGTTGCTCACTTTCATCTGACGTTTCCCTTCGATGTCCGAACCTGCGGGTGGGATGGAGCGGTCAGCACATCCCTCCTCCCCACCTCGGGGGTCTCCAACAGGCGCTCCCAGCCCAGCCACAGCCCTTCCCTTCTCCCTGGGGCTCGTGGTGAGTTTTCTGCCCAGTTTTCTGTCCCCTGCCGGCACCACGGGCTCGCTCGCCATCATTAGCGCTCAGGCTGATGGCCACAAGTGCCTCCTCTGGAGGGAGGGATGCCTTCCCTGCCTTGGCAACGAAACCTTTGGGGATGCCCAGGGCAGTACGAGAGCGCGGCTGCTCCTTGGGAGGAGGAAGCAGCAGCAGGAGAGGGAACCCCGCGAGCAGATTCCTGCTTTGGAGCACCCAAATTTCCCGTCAGAGCTGGGTCCTGCCGACCCCCGACCACGGCCGGGGCTGCCCAGGGAGCTCCGGGCACTGGTGGGGAGGAGCAGGCAGGGGTGGGACCGCGGGGTTATCTGCGAGCCCCAGGGCGAGGTGGGGCCGGCAGGAGGAAGGGAGGAAAAGGCTGAGCTGGAGAGGAGAGATAGTGATGGAGGGAAGGGGAAAAAAACAAAAACAAAAACAAAATCAACCAAGCGGACACGCGGCTCTTACTGGCAGAGACGAGATCCATGTACTGGCAGAGCGCGTGGAGCAGGAGCCGCTCGAAGCTGGGGGACAGGGGACAGGGTTAGAGCCTGAGCAGTGTGTCCCACGGGCTGCCCTGCCCTCTATCCTCCCAGGGACCCACAGGGGAGCACAAAGTGCCACAGAGCCCTGCGCAGGCATCCCCAGGCGCCTCCCTCCCCCAGGGGCTCCACGGGGACCAGGCCAGGTGGGTGTCCCCAGGTGGAGAGCCAGGCCTGGCTGAGGGGAGGCCAAGGGGTGTCCTGTGCTCCCAAAGCCCCTCTGCAGGCTGGGGCAGCCCTGGGGCATGGGGAACCCCAGCACCCCGAGATGGGGGGTACCTGTTATCCATCAGTGCTGTGTAGACAGAGTGTGGGGTGACAGAGAAGAAGGCCAGCAGCTCCTCCTCCAGCCCCTCCAGCGTCCCCTGTGAGGAGAGGCAGCGGCTCAGCGAGCAGGGGACAGTGGGGGGCACAGCCCTGGCACAACTGATTCCCCAAGACTTACTGCCAGCAGCTCCCGGGCAAGTTATCTGGATGGGAGACAGCAGGGAGAGGAGACAGCTCCCATCTCCAGCCCCTGAGGCGGGGAAGGATCCAGCTCCTGCCAACTCCACACTGTGTGTGCCAAGGGCTGGCACCATCCCTCGTGCTCACAGTCAAAGCTCAGTGCTCTGCTGCTCTGAGGAGCTCTGTGACCCCAGAGACGAGCAGCACACGCGTCCCATTGGAACACAAACAAGCCAGCGGGCAGGAGGAGCCCAGGCTGCATTTAGAGGCTCTAATTAGCACCAGGAAAACAAACAGAGCCCCACAGAGCAGAGGGAGCAGGGAGCCAGCACCCCCAGGACTGGTAGAGCAAGTGTCTGGGCAGACACTCACCTCTCTCCTTCCTGCTCAGCAGTTGGTGCACTTTTACCCCCTTTCAAAACACACTGGAGTTTCCCCAAATAACCTTGTGTGGGCCACTGTGAAGACCCTAAAGGCTCCACTGCTGTCCCCATGCATAAACACGCCTGGTTTCACCTGTCACCTGCTGTCATTGCACAAAGACTGAGAAACTACCACTAAAAAAAAGCCCTGTAACTACCAGAAAAATCTGAACTGAGCCAGGAAACCCCACGTGCCGGGAGCTGGGTGTCTCTGCAAGCAGCTACAACGCGCTCCCAGGAGCCCCTCTGCAATCCTCTGCACAGGGTCAGGGCACAGCTCTGGGGACGGGGACCCCTGGCAGCCCCAGCCCTGCTGTCCCAGCCCCCAGCTCACCATGGGGATCCTGCCCCTCTTCAGGGTGGCACGCAGGCGGCGGCTGATGCGCTGGAAGCACTCCTGGGGCGTGTAGGCAGGCAGCTCTGGACAAGGGAGAAGGGATTTGGACACAGCTCACAGCTCCAGAGCCCACAGTGTCACTTTTTGGGAGGACCCAGTGTCCCACCCCGTGCCCCCTTCACAAACAGCAATGCCCTCCCCAGCACAGGAGGGTCGGGGTGCAGAGATTTGGGGGTGTGACATCAAGGGATGGCTGCTGTGCCATCATCCCAGCCACTCCTGGCTCCCACAAACCCTCCCTGGTCCATGGTGGGGGTCTGCAGGCATAACCCCCCCACTACCACACGCAGGGGCTGAGCTCAGGCATCCCCCAGCCCCACCATGAACAGGGAGTGGGCACAGCCCTCCCAGAATGTACACAAGGAAGGAAAGGGAGAGGCTGTCCCCACCCTGCGTCCCCTCCCAGCACCTTTCCACTTCTCATCCTTGACAGGCAGCTTCCTCCTCTGCTTCTTCCTGGCCTCCTCCTCCAGGTAGAGCAGGACCCGCTCCTGCTCTTCTCCCGACCGGTTCATGAAGTCGTTCCAGATCTGGCAACAGAAGCCACCAAGCCCCACTGCAGAGGTCTGTGGGGAGCACCTGGCAGTGCACGGCCACCCCCACACCCCTGAGCCCCCTCCTCACCCTCTCGTCCCCAGGGATGGCCTGAGTGCCACACCAGGGAGAGGCCACGTTTCAAAACACCCGGTTACAGGCCAGCGTGAGGCAACGGGGGTTTGGCAAGGGGCTTGTGCCAGAGGAAGTGCTGCAGCTCATCAGGCACCCACTGCTCTGCAGCCACAACTCTCCACGAGAGGATCTGCCCGGAGATTCCCCCACCCCATGGACCCCATCACCCCCGGCACACCCAGCACCAGCTCCCACAGATCCCAGCCTGACACCACACCAGGCAGAAGCTGGGCTGCAGCAGCTCAAGCCAGGGATGCAGAGGGATGGAGGAGTGAGGTACAAGCATGCCATGCCATGCCAGTGTCCCCAGGCCAGTGGGTGGCTGTACTCACCTCCACGTAGGTCTCGTTGTTACACGCCTCGGTGAAGATGCTGGGGGTGGCCGAGTGGCTGAGCTCTCCCTCGTCGCTCCCGCAGTCATCCTGCTCCAGCAGGGTCATCAGGAAGCGAGCTGGGGTGAAGAGCAAAGCCTGAGAGGGCAGGAAGCACCTCCAGAGAGGCTCCTTGCCCGCAGTACATCCCTGCTGTCACACAGTTCAGGGGAGGCTGCTCTGGGGAAGAGACCCTGCCCTGGTCCTTACTGTTCTCCAGCCTCTGGAGGCTCTTGCGGCCCTTGGCCCTCGGGATGAGGTCGGAGTTGCGGATGGCTTTGTTGATGTAATACTGCTTCCTCTTGGACGGCGAGAACCGCTTGGACGGGGACTCCTCCAGCAGGGGCAGGCAGTCCTCGATCCTCCTGGGGGACACAGCGCGAGGGATCAGCCCACCCGAGGGGCCTGGGGCAGCCCCAGCAGCGGGAGGGTGGGGGGACATGGGGCAGCAGAGCATCAGCCCCGTTGGTACTGCGACTGGCACCACCACGGGGTCACCCTGTCCCCCTCGGGTCACCTCCGAGGCTGGCTCTGCTCAAAGCAGCTGTGTGTCAGCACTGGAAGGGCCAGGTAATTAACCTGGGTAATTAACCTGGGTAATTAACCGTGCCACACAGGAAGCAAAACGATGGATCCATTCCTGCTCACCATCGTCCTGCGTGGATTGGCACTGACCCTGCCACTCCTTGTTGAGGGCAGCAGCAACACCACCCCAGCCTGGCACTGCCAGCTCCTGGGGGCACCCAAAGCTGCCCCGTTCACAACACTGTCAGGGCGTTGATTAATCACAGGCACAGCTTAGGGATGACCAAAACACTGAGGCATTTTATGGAAAAATGAAGCCACACCACCAGCGAGAAGCTCAGCGGGTGCTGAACACAACCACTTGGGTTTCAAAGTTTACTAAACACCAAGGACAGGAAGTTTCACCGCCTTCACTTGCGAAGAAGCTTCCCCTCAGGGTTGTGTGGGTTTCCTTTGGCGCAGCAGAAGGTGGGGGAGAAAATCAACACCCCTGAAACAACCCTCAGGACTGTCCATCCAGGACGAGGAGCTGCAGCACGGCTGCCGGGAGTGACCGCAGGTACCACGGCAGCACCACGGCCTTGCTCCATCCACAGGGCGCTGTCCCCACCGTGTCCCCTCCTTTCCAGCATTCTGGGCCTCATGGCAGCCCCAGTCCTGCAATCAGGTTCTGACAGAGCTGATCTGGGCACGGGGCAGAGCAGGTTGTGCTGTCCGATTGCAGCCCGGGCCAACAGCCAGCTGCTCGCCCTCGCCAAAACCTTGATTTTTTTTTCCCTTTCCCTGCATCAGGGGAGCGATACAGTCTTGGCTGCTGGTGGGGGGTAGAAAAAACAACCATCCCTTCCAAGCCAGAGAGAAAACCGTGGCAAAGGCGGGCTTGGAAGGAATAAAAGAGACTCAGGTATCCAGGCAATGCCCAGAGGACGGGTGGGGAGCAGTAACCCAACCTGCCACAGCGAGCAACCAGGGCTGGTGGATCAAGTTGTGATACAAAGACGGTTACAAAAAACTGAATAAACAGAGGGAGTCACCTTACGTTGGCCCCAGCTTGGGGGTTTGAGTACACAGCTGCAAGCCTGGCGCTCCCTGGAGACAGCAGGGCCCCAGAAAATGTCAAAAAACCAGTGTCAGCGGGGTGGGAGCACCCCCGGGACCCCCCGAGCCCCCTGGGAGGGGAACAGGCTGAGCCACACTCAAGACTTTTCTTCCTGAAGGCTGTTCGTGGCTGTCCTGGCACCCGGCACTGCCACGTCTGCCCTGGCACTGCCACCTCCGCCCAGTGCCAACCTGGAGGTTCACAGGGCACTGTGACCTCGGCCCGGTGCTCCCAGAGGCAGTGACCCGTGTCGGACAAGCACCGGTGCCCTCTGAGGCAGGGTCCCGTGCCAAGCTGGGGTAAGACCCCAGGAAAGGTCATTCCTGGGGGACCACAGCAAACCACAACCCCGGGGCAATGGTCACGGCAGCTCCGGGAACACCGGAGCACAGAGTGACCCGTGGCTTCTCCTCCACGTCCCGTTCCCGGGCAGGGAACGCGCCTGGAAGAGGAACTTGGAAATTCCGGACCTATTCCTGCCATTTACCCTTCGGCAGCAGAGCGAACTCGCCGGGGACAACCGGAGCTGTCGGGGACAGCTCCGTCCCGCAGCATCCCGAGCCCCGGTACCCCCGTGCAGGACCGGGGGGCTGCACCCAGCCCCGGCACCACGAGTGACCCCGGCCCGCACGGCCAGCCCCGGTGAGCGGGAGCACCGTGACCCGGAGGGATAAACACTAATTACAAGGCTGATGATGCCGGTGCCGGGCTCCGCTCTGACACCGCCCCCGGGGCCGGGCTGTCCCGGGAGGCGCCGCCGCCGCTCCCGCCCGCACGGACAGCCCGGGGGGCTCCTGCCCGGCCCCACCGCCCCACGGCCCGCCCGGCCCCGGGCCCGCACTCACGGGAACGGCTCCTCCGGGCCCGCGCCGCCCCGCAGCACCACCATGGCGCGCCGGGACTGGGATCGGAACCGGGACGGTGACCAGAACCGGCACCGGGACCTCCCTCCGCCGCCTCCACCCCCGGCCCGTACCGGCGGCACCGGGCCCGGCACCGCCCGCTGGAAGTGACGTCACGGGGGCGGGGCCACGGGAACCCCGCCCCGGGCGTCGCGGGAGGCGGTGCACCGGGGGTGCTCCGGGGAGCCCCAGGAACCGGGGCGCGACGGCTGCCGGACCCCATTAACCCCGCGTGAATCCCTGTCGTCCCCCGTTAACGCCTCCGTTAATCCCCGCGAACCTCTAGTTAACCACCGTAAAAACCCCGTTAGCCCCCGTTAACCCCCCGTTAAACCCCCCGTTAAACCCCCCGTTAACCGCCCCCCCTCCGCGGCTCTACCGGGGCCCGCGCCCCTCACGGCGCCGTTCCCCCGCCCGTCCGCGAGGCGGCGCTGCGACCGCGCCCCCGCCGCGCGCTCTATTTGCATGCCGACCAATGGCGGCGCGGGGCGGGGCGCTCCGGGAGCGGCGGGCCAATGGCGGCGCGGGGCGGGGAGGGGCGGGGCGCTCCGGGCGCGGCGGGCCAATGGCGGCGCGGGGCGGGGCGGCGCGGGGCGGGGCCGGGTCCCGCCGCCCGCCCGCCGCCCGCCCGCCCGCGGGGAGAGCAGCGCCGCGGGCCCCGCGCGCACCGGCCCCGCCGAGCCCGACCCGGGCGGCCGCGGCTGCTATGCGGCTTCGCGGCGCACGGCCTGTACCGGGTAAGGGGGACGCGCCGCCGCGCCGGTGCCGCGGATGGGATCGGCATCACCGAGAAACGGGACCCCCGCCGCGGACGTAGCCGGGACCGGGAGTCGGGGGCTGGGCGGGAGCGGGGACCGGAGCGCAGGACCGGCCGCCTCTCCGAGGTGGGCTGGACCCTCTGCTGCCGGTGCCGGGCGGGAGCGTGGCGCCCCCTCCCCCCCGCGACCGGTTACCGGGCGCCTCCCCCACGCGGGGCTGGGGTTCTTCCCCCGCGGCCGTTCCCGGCCTTGACTCTCCGTTCTCCCCGGGCGCTGCTCTCCGGGCCGGGCAGAGCCCCGTGGCCCCGCCCTGTGCCCCCCCCAGGCCCGCGGTCTCCCGGGGTCCGGTCGGCGGAGGGGCCAGGCCGGGCCGACCCAGGCTCGCCTCTCCGTGTCGGGGGCGGCCGTTTCCCCCCGTTCGCGGGGCCAGGGCCCGTTTGGGCCCCGCCGCCTCCGTGCCCGGTCCTTCTGAGGGCCGCCGGTGCCACGTGCCGCCGGGAGCGGGGCTGGGCTCAGTTTTGGGGATGGGACTCCTGTTCGCCCGGCGTCCCCAGCCCCGTCCGTCCCCGGGGACGGCACCCACCGGGCCCGGTCTCCTTGTTCTCCTCTTCCTCACTCAGCCTCCACGACGCCCCGGAGCCCTTCCCGGGAGCCGCCTGGGGGTGTCCAGCCGCGGCCAGCCCAGCCCCGGTGTCGGTGGCACAAAGGGCCTTCCGTCACACCCCCGCTGCCTATTTTTAGCCGCTGTCGCTCCCCGGCACCTGCCCCGGGGACGCGGGTGACGCCGCCCCGAATCCCTCTCGGGACCCCCGCCACCGCCCCACGGCGGGGACGCACCGGGCCCCGTGGCCCCGAGCGGCCGGAGGGACAAAGGGGCACGGCTCAAGGTCACCGTGGCCGCCGGGCCGGGGTGCCACGGGGCCCTGGCTGTGGCCTCGCCACTCCGGTTTCCCCCGTGGAGAAGCGGCAGCCTGGCTGCGGCGCGGCCACGGCCCGCGGTGCTCGAGGAGGCACCTGGTGCTGGCACCGTGTCACCGGGGGAGTCGGGGCCCGGCAGAGCCGCGAGGAGCACGTGCCCGGCTCGGTGTCGCTCCGGTTCGCTCGGGGATGGCGCGGGGCACGGGGTTCAGGTGCGGGGCAGGGCAGGAGCGCGGCCGGTGAGAGCTCCGGGCGTGGGGAGTGTCCCCGCCGCCACCTCCACTCCGCGGGCGCTGATCGGAGTGGAGGAAACTGAGGCACGGGCACCGCTGGCCCGTTTGTGCCGCGCCTCTGCTGGCTCCCGGTGGAGGCGGCGGCTGCTGGGGTTGCCGTGGCCGTGGCGACGTGTCCGTCCGTAGCGTGAGCCGGGCCGGGAGCGGATGCAGCCGCGGCGAGGCGCGGGGGAAGCGGCTCCCGCCCGATCGTCCCCGGCCCACGCTGGCAGCAGGTTCCTCTTTCCAGAATGCGCGGGATCGTGGCGGAGCTGGCCCCGCAGAACCCAGGGCCGGCCCCACGGTCAGTCCCCGGGAGGGTCGTGCCGTGAGTGCCCCCGGGCAGTGAAGCGGGATTTGCCCGTGCACGGCACGACCGCGGTGCTGCGGTGAGCGCCTTCAGTGCGGGCGAGGTCACAGCTGGGAGCTGCCCGGCCACACCGGGGCTGCCGGTCCCACCGGGGCTGCCGGGGCTGCCGGCCCCACCAGGGCTTGGGAGCTCAGTGCTAAAAGAGGTCCAGACCCGGGTGTTGGGGTGTGGGGGTTCCGCAGGGCTCAGCTGTTAGGTGCTGATCCCCTCGGTGGTTTCCAGTGGGGCACAGCAGAGATGAGCTGCTGGCAGCCTCACGGTGCCTTGGAGGGCTCCCGGCCCCAAGGGAAGGGGAGCAAGGGGGCTGAGCCTGTTTGCCAGGATTTCAGGGCTCTGCCTGTCCATACCCTGGGATCTGTCCCGAGGTGCTTTGGGTGCAGACCCCAGTGCTGCCCACACCCCAGTGCCAATCACGGTGAGCCCCAGTGCTCCCCATGCCGTATGTCCCTGCTGGGGATGTGCCTTGTCCCCTGTGGGGGATCTGGTGGACGTCTCTCCCCAGGCCCTGTTATCTTTGGGCGTGAGTCCACCGGTATCCGCTGCCTGCAGGGCCGGGCAGGGCTATCGGTTGGGCAGGCCCCTTCCCCCTCCAGCAGCAGGCCCAGCCGCCCTATCTCATTAGCTCGAGATTAATGAGGCTCCTGCGCTGTCTTTAACTCCTTCCTGCTCGCCAGCTCCTGCCCACAGCTCCACTGACCCTCTGCTCTACTTCACCCACAGGTTTGTGCCGACGCCTGCCGGACACTGACCCAGCTGAGGATTCAGGACACCGACTGTGAGCAGGGGACCCTGAGGCTGCCACCCCCACAAAGTGCCAGGTCTGCAAGGGAAAGGGTGATGCGCCCAGCTCCAGCTGCTGCCTGCTGAGCTTGAGGAGGAGTTTTGGAGACTACCTGGGACGCTCCCCCCAACAACAGCAGCACCCCAATCCCAACGGGCAGCGCTGAGCCCGCCACACACCGCAGCCTTTACGCCAAGGAGACGTCGGACCAAGCCTGAGAGGGGTCAAGGGGCACATTATTCTTTCCCCCGGTGTCAATTCCTGCCCTGACACCCCGACGGCACTGCCCTCACCCCCCGGCAGCCCCTTCCAGGGCTGCCTCTCCCTGGCGCTGCCCAGCCTTGGCCCCCAGCCCCGCTGGAGCGCGGCAGCCTGCCGGGCGCTGCCCCCCGGGCACTGCCCCCCGGGTGCATCGCCCCCCGCCCGCCCGGGGACCCCCCGCCCGCCGGCAGAGCCATGAAGCTGCAGGCGGTGATGGAGAACCTGCAGCGGCAGCAGCGCGCACGGCTGCAGCAGGCGCTGGAAGCACGGCAGCAGGAGCAGCAGCAGCAGCAGCAGCCTCCGCGCTGCACGTCCCCACCAGCGCAGCCCTCGCAGCCCCCGGGGCAGCCCCCTGCCAGCAGCCGGGGCCGCGGGCAGGATCCGGCCCCGGCGCCCTCGGAGGAGGGAGCGGAGCCCGAGAGCGCGCACATCCAGCGGGCACAGATGGCCGCCCTCGCTGCCATGCGGGCGGCCGCTGCCGGCCTCAGCCACTCGCCCAGCCCGGGGCTGTCGGATGAGAGCCAAGGCTCCGAGGAGGAGGAAGAGGAGGAGCGCGGCGAGGAGGAGGAAGATGGCGGCGGGTACCAGCAGGAGATGGGCTCTGAGGAGGAGGAGGACCTGTGAGTGCACTTGGGCAGCTCTCGTGGGTTTGGGGAAGGGGCAGGGAAGTGGCACAAGGTTGGTGGGTTTGGGCACATTAGAGCTGTTGGGATGTTTCAGAGCAGGAGGTGCTGAGAGCAGCAGCTCGGCTCTGTGGCAGTGGTTCCTCATGCTGGGTTGGCATGACATCCCATCTCTGCCCAGCAGCCAGGTGGGGCTGGGGCAGAGGACCCCAGGCTAGTGTTAAATTATGCAGGACCCTCAGCTGCTTCCAGCATGCGTCCTCTCAGGGCAGGGCCAGGCCAGGAGCTGTCTGGCAGAAGTCCATGACAGAGTTGCTCCTGGGTTACTGGGAGCTGGCCATGCCCCCCAGAGCTGCCCCCACCAATGGGCTGTACCGGGGCTCCCCTGTGTGCTGGGTGGGTGGTCCCAGCCCCGCCGCTGGGGCAACCAGGAGAGAGGGATGGGCCTTGGGAACCAGCGTGGGACCAAACCTCTCCTTTCCTCCTGGCTCCAGAAAGGGCAAATGGGATGAAGATGACTTTGAAGAGGACCTGGGTGAGGAGGAAGAGGAAGAAGAGGAGGAGGAGGAAGAGGAAGACTATGAGGAAGAAGAAGACATGGGAGAGGAAGGGCTCAGCTCAGCAGGGGCGGTGCGGGCGGGTGCGGGATCCCTGCTGCTCCGCAAGCCCCCAGCACCCCAGCACTACCGGGGGGAGCCAGCACGGCTGCCAGGGGGACAGGAGCGGCTCCCCCCCGGCCTGGGCCACGCTCAGCCCCCACCACCAGCACCTGACCACGGCGACTGGACCTACGAGGAGCAGTTCAAGCAGGTATGTGCCCACCGAGACACGCGTGTCCCTGTGCCATCCCTCTCCCTGCTCCTGCGCAGCCGTGTGTCCTCGCCAGCGTGGGGAAATGCCTCTGGCAGTGCTGCCTCCAGCAGTGTTCTCCTCGGATCCAGCTGCTGTTGTCATTAGGAATGTGTGGGATTTCTCCAGGGTTTTAGTGCTGGGCTCAGTTTCGCCCCTTCCCTGGTTGGGTGACTCTGAGTGGATCCTGTGTCCGGGTTGTTCTGCCACAGGCATGCAGTGCAATTGGGTTTGCTGCAGGGATCTGGGAGGATTCTTGCTGAAAATTATGTAAAAAAATCACCCCAAACTTGCAAATCTAATGGATCTCTTGGTTTTCCTCTTCTCCACTCTCCCCAAGCCATTTTCCATGGGTACCTGTCTGTCTCCCATCACTGTCACTACAGAGCTGATGCCTGGCAGGACAGCCCTGGCCCCATGGATGCTTGGTGGGGGGCAGAGCTGTGCCCCTGCTGCTGCCAAAGTGCCATGAAAGAGTGAAACCAGGGAGAAAGCACCTGGCTGCCCCCTTTGTTGCCTTCCCCAGGCAATGAGGCCAGGACATTCCCACTCTCCTGGTGCCAGAGCTGGCTGCAGTCTGCTCTCACTGACAGAAGAAAACGTGCTGCAGCCAGGGCTCCCCGGGGGCTGCCCGGCACCTTTGATGTGTGTTTAAATGCATCGGAGTTTGGGGCTGGGGGAAGGGGCAGGACCAGCAGCAGCAGATGGGACCCAGATGGAGCAGCCAGGGCATGGTGGCCTTTCAGGAGGGATGCGACCACCTCTGCCCCTTCACCTTCAGGAGGCTGTCGCATCCCTTCCGAAATGGGATCTGCTGGCACATGTGGATGTGGCTCAGAACAGGGCTGGCCGAGGGAGCACCAGCAAGCACGGAGCATGTGGCCATCCTCCTGGTGCTGCCTGGCTGCGGGGATGAAGGGATGCTCCTGTGCAGTGTGGGGATGGAGGGATGCTCCTGTCCGGATGGAGGGATGCTCCTGTGCAGTGTGGGGATGGAGGGATGCTCCTGTGCACTGTGGGGATGGAGGGATGCTCCTGTCCGGATGGAGGGATACTTCTGTCCACTGTAGGGATGAAGGGATGCTCCTGCCCTGCACATCCCTCATTTTAGTGCTGGGCTCAGTCTCGTCCGTTCCCTGGTTGGGTGACTCCGAGTGGCTCATCCCTCCAAGTGGTGACATCCCTCTCTGCACCCAGGCTACCTGCTCTTCTTGTGGTTTCTCTCTCTTGTGCTTCCTGCCGCCGGGGAGCAAGGGGCCAGGGCCGTGAACTCGTAGCTGTGAAAAGGCTTTTCAATACCGCAGCTCTGATCTTCCTGTTTGTCAGCGTGTCAGTGCCCGTAGCCTCTGCCAGGTCCCCTGTCGCAGCCGCAGCACTTGGGAACACCAGCCCTGTTCCCAGCGCTGCCCCACGAGCTGTGCCCCCTCTCCCTGAGCACTCCCTCTCTCTCCATGTCATTCCTGGGGTCCCTGGGAAGAGCCCAGCTTGGAGATGGTTGTGGAAGCAGCTGGAGGGGGTTGGAAAGCCTCTGTGGGCGGAGGAGCGGAGGCGACGCTGGGCCCGGAGAGGCTTTCCCCGGCACGTCAGCCCGTGCGACCGCGCTTGGATCGCGGCCCCTGGACCAGGGCCAGGGGGTTGCTGGCGCAGCCGGTGCTGGCCGGGAGCTCCTGCTGGCCGGCCTCCAGCGCGTGCCGCCGGGCTCCATCCCAGCCCAGCTGGCGCGGCCTGGGAAGGAGCAGCAGGAATGTAAACAGCGAGGGCAGCACGGGGCAGGGGATGCCGTACCCCATCCCAGCTCCTCGCTGGCGTGGAGGCGCCTTAGGGGGAGCCCCGGCAGCTCCGGGATGCTGGAGCACAGCAGGGTCCCTGTGTGGGTGAGCCAGCAGGGACGTGGTGCTGTGCCAGTGTTCTGCCTGCCTGCTCTGTGAGGGATGGGTTGCTTTTTATTTTTGCCAAGGAGCTTCTCAGCACCGGCAGCACCCCTGTGTTCCCACCAACCTTTTAGCTTCCCTGGCTGTCCAGGTCTCTCCGCTGGGAGTTAAATCCAGTTTGGATTCAGCTCTGGTTGTGCTGGTGCCGCCGGCATCCTTGGCCCATGGGTCTGTGTGGTTGAGAACACCGTTCTCACCGGGCAGTGCCGCCATCCAAGCCCCACACCAGTGCCTGCCTCCACACCCAAACCCTGGCAGCCCCCATCCTCCACTGCCAGGTTTTATTGACCCATCTGGGACAGATTCCTGTGAACTGGTGCTCGGCTGAGCTGTGGGGGGCCGGAGGCAGGAGGATGGGGCCCAGTTCAAGGGAGGAGGAAGGGGAGGGCGTGAGGAAGAGTTATGGAGGTGAGGGAGGTTAGGGAGCCGGCGCGTGGCACCTCCCCGTCCCCAGGGACGGCTACTGCACAGGCAGAGGTCAGCTCAGCCTGACCCGGGCGCTGCCGGCGCGGGCAGCAGAACAAAGGAGCCTCCGCACAACCGGGAACTCGGGGCAGCAGTTGCCGAGGGCACCGGGGCTCCTCGGGGTGAGGGGGGAAAGGGGCATTTTCTGGGTGGTAAGACGCTCCCCATAGGAAATGGCTAAAAATCCAGCAAGCTCCTGCCAGCAAAGGGCTGCTTGGGGTAAAACTGCTCAGAGTTCTGTACCCCAGCACTGTGGGGGCTCTGCTGCTGCTGCCCCCCAAGATCCCTGCTCTGATCTTTCTCTTTCATTATTGCTATTACTGCTCCCTGTTAAAACCAGGAGTGGGAGCCCCTGGTGGAGTGGCAGCTCCTGGAGCTGGAGTTTCCAGCCTTTCCAACTGTTTTGGAGTTTCCTGCACTGCTGGTGCTTCCTCAGGCATGGCACTCTGCATGCCAGTACCCTGTCCCACATCGCAGGAGCTTGAGGAATCCACCTCCCTGTGTTCATCTGGCTGCAGCAGCCACCACTCTCCCTCTGGAGTTCTCCATTTTGGGTGCTCCCTTTTGGGGTGTCCTGCAGTGCCTGCCTCAGGCTGATGTTTAACGCCCGTTTCTGCTTCAGGAGGGATTTAAGAAGTCACCACAGTGCCAGCCGGAGGCTGTGCCAGCTGGGGGGTTTCAGGGGGGTGCTGGTGCCTTAGTGGGGCAAGAGGTTTCTTGTGCTGGGGACATCTGAGCCATGCCGGTGGCACAGGGGCGCGAAAACCTCAGCTCTTATCTGGCGTGGTGCAGCGCACCCCGAGATACGGCGTTTCAAAGTGCAGTGGTGGGGGAAAAATAAACCGAAAGCAACTCAGCGACCTCGGCAGGGCTGCGGGGGTGGCTGAAACCGGACCCCCTCTGCCCGGACCAGCCCTGCGCACATGGCTGGTGGGGCTGGGATTTTCCAGGGGGGTCTGCAGGAGCAGAGAGCCCATAGCTCCTCTGAATCCCCAGGAGCTGGTTAAAGCATGGGGGATCCCCTCTGAACCCCTTTCTCCCGTGGATTATTCTCTTTTTCAAAGCCCAAAGCCAGCTGGGGGCGTGGGGCCTGAGCAGGGGCCCCGTGGCCTCTTAACGAGGGCGGGAGGGTCCATTTACTTTCTTTAAAATATTGATTAGAGCTTTATTGCATTAGCCAGCCGAGCGGATGAGCCGCCCCCAGGGAGGGCGAGGGGGCCCCGGCGCAGGGAATGGGGGACCCGAGTGTCATCCCACAACCGGGGGGCCACTGCCCCCCACCCAGAGGCAGTTTGGCTCCCAGATAAGGGGGAGTGCCCTGGGGCCCCCAGTTGGGCGCTGCTGTGCCGGGGAGGTGATTGTGGTGCCTGGCCAAGCCAGCAGCAGATAACGCAGGCAAGAGGGGATCTGAGCAGGCAAGAGGGGATCTGAGCAGGCAAGAGGGGATCTGAGCAGCACAGGGCTTTGGGGACAGTGGGGGAGTCACCAGTGGACCCCTCCCAGGATAAGGCTGTGTCCTCCCCGCTCACCCTGCATCAGCCATTGCCCCTCTCACCCTGCACCGATGCCCGGCGTGCCGAGGGGTGCTCCCAGCCGGGGATCCGGCACAGTAATTGGCTCATAGAGCTCAGGGAGCATTCCCGGGGCTGTAATCCCACCAGATCCCTGGCCAGAGGTCAGGGACTTCTCGGCGAGAGCGGTTTAGCCGCCGAGTGCCTCCCCCAGCCAGACGCCTGGGTGCTCACAGGTGCTGGTCCCGGCATCTGAGCACTCGTGAAGCCATTTCTCCAAACAAGATCCAGGATGATTAATGAGGTTGAGGGACAGGGGACACGTCCTTTCTGCTCAGTGTGCCCAGCCAGTGCCTTCACGCAGCTGGACCATGCCCCTTGTCTCGGGAGCTGGGCTGGCTCCCCACAGCGGGGGCATCACCTGCTTGTGTCCCCACAAAGCCCCATTTCCCCCATGCCTGGACGCCCCCAGAGCCTCATTTCCCCCCACCCCTGGCCCTCCCAGAGCCCTGTTCCTCCACGCCCCAGCCCCCCGGGCTGACTCAAGGGCTGCGGAGGTGGCGGCCGCCTCCCCTTTCGGCACAGCTGAACTAACAGGGTTTATTTAAAAGGGGAAAAAAAAAAAAAGAAAAGAGCAGTTCAGGGAGCGGGGCCTTTGTCAGCAGAGCCCCCCGCCCCCACCGCAGCGTTGGGCAAGGGCAGCATTGCTCCATCGCCCTATTTCTGGCCCAAACCGCAGGAGAAATGGCAGCTGGTCCCAGGGCCCAGCCGGACGTGCTGCAATCAGGGGCCAGGGCGGGGGATGTTTGGGGCTGGGGGGCCCCTGGTCTGAGCCCCTGGGGCAGCCAGACTGGGGGCTCAGGGTGCAGCTCCTGACCTGCTCCCTGACCCTTCCCATCGGTCGCTTTATCTGCCTGTGCCTGAGTCCTGCTCTGGCTGGAGCTCAGGATGATCCACCCTGCGCTGGGGCTGCTGCAGGCCAGGGCTCGCCCCTGAGGAGGGTCCCCTGCTCCCCGTGTGTCCCACGGGGACGGTGTGGCCAAGTCACTTCTGT